GTGCTGGGGACCTGGTATGACCATTGCTGGGGTGAAAGGACCGTTCTGGTATCAGGAGGATGTTGAGGATGAAACACGCAAAGAGTTCAGGGCAGAGCCAAAGAGGGAATAATAAATTTGAAAATATGATAAAAAACAGATGGAGGGTCATAAAAAGGAGCAAGTTTTTAAGTAGCTACATGTGGAACAAATAACACTTAGAAATTTCTACAACAAACTAAAAAAAGTAATAACAAAGGCCAGTGATTCAAACTGAAGACAAAAAGATGCAGGCCAGAAATAGGGTAAGAGTCTTTTTTTTTTTTTTTTTTTAACTCAGTTGATTAAGCCTTGGAATTCCTTTACCTTCTCCAGACCATATTCTCTCTAGGTATTTTTGAATGCAAGACAAATGCTTTCCTAATGCAGGCGTTTTACTTCCAACACACCTGATCAGCGCAGGCAAGGACTCGATTTGTTTTCAAGGGTTAAAACTGATAATCACGAACGTTCTTCTGATCTTGAAAAATTATTCTTCCCCTCCTTCCAGCTGCACTATTGTAGCACTACAGGCATCTATGAGAAACTGGATTTTCTACCATCGTGAGCACAAGTGAAGACCGTTAGGAAACTCCTACAAAAGAGAAGTGTGCACTTTCATTTTTTAGGCTGTGTAGTGGTTAAATTTCCCTGATGAAAGTGAAATCCTCACAGTGGAGGCCTAATGATAGTCTGCAGTGAAACCTGAATCACAGCATGGTATTTCTAGTGAAATGTTCTTAGAAAAACCTTACACTTTTAATGACACCTTTGGCTGGGATAATTACATTTCTCTGAATCCAGAGAGCTGGTGATGGTGCAAACTTAATGTTAGGGCAGGCTGACATTTTCTGTAGAGAACAAACCAGCTGAATCTGTTAATGATTTGAGGTCAGATTTGACAAACAGCTTTGATCATAATTTTTTTAGTTTGAGACCATTCCATTGAGACTCTTTCAAAACGAATCTTTTTGAAATGTTTGTTTTGGAGCAACATATTACTTAGAAATCACACTATTTCTAGAGAGGAAAAAAATGAAAACCAAAACAAAATGGTCTTGTTTCCTGTCAAATAAAGTGTCTTATTCATTATGTACCCTCATTATGTAAAAACTTTTTTTGATGAACTTGTACACCAGGCTTTTGCGCAAGTTTGTTTGTGCTGTTTTGGTTGTATGTGGACTACCTGTGCAAGGTGTAACATGGCCTCAGTTTGTGCTGCAGTAGTACATGCATTTTTATGCAGAACTACAGCCCACCCTTGTGGCAAGAGGTGTTTATGGAATTAGGAGTTACATCGTTTTGATAAAAAGGGTTTACAGTCACCTTTCCGCAGCAGTCCAGATGATGTTTTTCTTCTCATAAGACATTTTAACTTTCATGTTCCCCTAGACCCTTTGCATTTGACAGTCACAAAAGATGGTCCCTGCGATGGCAATGCCACGCTGCAGTCAGAAGGTCCTACCTAAGGAGCAGAAGATCAGGCCGGCTGTCGTCTCCCAGTTCCTTCAGGCAGCAGCCGCGTGATGCTGTGATTGATGCTTGTCAGGTCACCTTCTCAGCAGAGTCACCTTTTCTGCAGGAGTGACTGGGTTTAAAAAGCTGAGGCACTTAACGGTAAAGACAGAAACTGAACTTCTGCTTACAGAACTGCAAAGTTTGGGGAAGAAAATGTTGGAATGAGGAGTGCTGGGCTTCAATTGTAAGAAGAGATGTGTAGTTAGACGTTAGTTTTTTTAAAAAAGAAGAAAAAACTGTCTTACTGTGATTTTTTAATTTTTTTTAGGTAGTTAACCTGCGCAGGCTGTGGCATCTCCAGTGTTGGAGGCTTTTAAGCTGTTAGAAAAGCATCTGTCAGGTAAAGTAGAGCCTGTCTCGGGGTAAGGGAAATATTTTCTGTGATCCAACAACGCAAGAATATCCTGCGGGACAAGGCATGAAGCCACAATGGAAGATTACATCGCCGACAAGAAAAATACTTGCGTTATGGGACTTTATTAAAAACTCAAAAGGAAAACAATTTTATGAGCATAAAATCTGCCTTTGATCAGGTGTCCAAAAGTCAGTCATTCTGTACCAAAAGTATAGACCCATTTAATGTATCAGACCCTGAGAGGGTGAGAAAACTGCTGATGCTGCCTGAACAAGGGAGGAGGGGACAATGAAATAGTCCATGCTGAGAGGGTCTGCTTTAGGGATTAAAGCTTGGCATTGCACAGCCATTCAAAGACAGGCATGAATAAGAGTGAGGAGGGGGTACTCATACTCATTCAGCAGAAGAAGTAAGGTACAGCGTCCCTGTATTTCCCAGATCAGCCATGGCACAAAGCCTTCACCGTTTGAGTTACCAAGGAGGTCTCTTTGCCTTTTCAAACTGGTTCCTCTTCCCCCAGGTTCATTCATTTCTTTTTCCGGGTGGTTTATCTCTCTTCCTGTTCACAGGCTTTGATTTCTGTTTCAGCCCTACACCTCAGGCACACAGTGTAGTTCAGCCTGAAGGTCAAGGATGCCAAGCTACCTGCAGCCACCCAGGGTGTTGTTTGCATACTGCATTCTGCAGAAGGTTTGTTCTGCTCAGCTGCTCAGGATTGGGCACTCTCTTATCCAATATCTGTTGCAAGGCCAAAGTGAAGGATACAAGAGGCACTGAATCAGCAGCTGAACAACCTTTAGCTTTTAACAGCTTCAGTGAGCATGGTTTGTCTCCCAAAGAAATCACAGACAGCAGCTTCTAGCATCCTTCACCCTCATATGGCTCCTGTGTACTTCTCAGCTCCTCCAGAACAAATTAATGCCAAGTGCCTAGTGTTGTGCTTACCTTCCAGTCCCAGACCACAACATCACGCTGATCTGGACAGTAACTTTCTGGCTGGGACGTTGCCTCTGTCTGTTGTGCATCCTTCATCACAGGCTTGAAGGTAGAAAAGTATGCAGCCAGTCAATCAATAGCTGCTGTTACATAGGATGGGACTTCCCATCACATTGCATTAATACAAGGGATGGAGGTTATGTGAAAAAGCAAACAACACAGCACAGCCTTGCCAGCAGATATGTGACATGGCTAAATATAATGACCTGTCTGAGGCTGTTAGCTTTACCTGTTAGGCTGTGGCACATGCAGCAGTCAATAGATGCACTGCTCTGGTTATTTCTGAAGCATTATAATTACACTGTTGCACCTCAAACCTTCTTTCTAAACACATACTGCACACGATTCCTCTAATTTAATCAGATGTACAGACCAGATCCCTGAAAGTGCCACAGGATTTAGAAGCTCCCAAAATATCCAGGCTGGTGGAGATGCTGATGAGTGCCTGGGGTCACTGAAACAATAATGTCATTGTCTGCAAGGGGATTTTGATAGGGCTTCTTGTTTTCAGGACAGGAGTTTGACTGCCAGCCAATTCCTTGCAGTAAAGATGGCATCTGTGAAACAGAACTATAAATACATAGAGCTGCTGTGAAATACATGTATTGTTTCTCAGACACTTAGGTATAACAATAACAGTTCTGTGCAGATTAGTCATAAGCAAATATGTCCAGAGTGTAGGATGAGGATGCTATCCTGTGAAAAGGCACAAGAACCATCTGCTAAATACAGAGAAAAGAAAGCAGCACAAAATCCTCCATCACAAACCTCCTATTTGATTTTGATTTACAGTCAAACATTCTCCCACTACATTTTGAGAGGGAGAAATCCTGTTGAGGTCATAAAAGCCTGTCCAGCAACTTTCACCTAAACATATTCATAGATGGAGGGGAGCTACTCCCAGAGATAAGAGAAGGCTATGGTCAATGATCTGCCTCCTGTCGCAGCCCAGTGTCACGCGTATTTCATTATGCTCTAGTGCTGTGCAACTAGTTACTGAGGATTCAGAATAGCTGAGGAAATCACAATGTATTCCTAACGGGAGAAAAAAAATGCCCACCCTGTATAGTTTCTCCCCATTTCTGTTTTAGGGAAATTCTTTCAGTGAAAAAATACCGGTATTAGAGTCCATCAGTCAGCACCTTTCTCTGGAAGGAGAGTTAGATAATTGTGTATTGCATTTCAAAGGCATAGAGGAGACTGAATAACAAAATTCAGGTACAAAATTGTTTAAACAAGATACAGGACATGAAAAAAATTACTCTCAAACTTGAAACACATGTGTGTTTCTCATCTCACATATGTGACTAAAGTACAAAGAAGATACTGCATTGCAACAGAAAACCATCAGATGAGATCTTTTTACCAAGTGAGAAGAGATAGATGCAACATTGCATTTGTCTTTAGACAGGAGTGGAAAAGGTGAAGAAGTACAGTTTGGGCTAACTAACCTAGATCCACACAAAAATTATTGGACATTAGAATACCTTTTTCACTGAAAATAAAACCAAATGCTTTCAGGTGTTTAGTTTAACCTCTGAAAGAATGGTGAAGAGATTGCATAAACAACCACATTTTTTAAAACTTTGAAAAAACAACTTAAACAGCCTATCCTGAGGGAGAGGTCATGTTTTCTTGTAAGTCTTCCATGCCCATTTCCCAAAGATGATTTACCAGAGTCCAGTTTCTGTCAAAGACACAAATTGGAATTTGTGTCCTTTATTTACGCAGGAGTTATATCTTCCTGAGGAACTCACAGTCACCAGCAATACTAGTCAAATCATGAATCTTGGAAGAAAAAATGTTCATTGTCTTCTTGAGATTTTCACAGAACATGTAATTTTCTCTGCTAGACTTAGAGAGCTCCTGTACTCCAGACATAATCCCAGTAGAATTAAATAGAAAAAAATACATGTAGATAAACAATACATGTAAATACTAACCGTTTTTCTGAACACACTATATGTAAGTGCAAATCAATAATAAAACCTAATTTCTTCTCTCACAGGGCTACCATTTAGAGCGAGGGTTTACTTGTCATTTGCATTGCATGAAGACTTATGGGTTGACATTGGGCTGTCTTCTCTTCCAGACATCGTATCCTCCAAGAGGAATGGCTAGCACCTTCTGTCGTCTCCTGGCTGGCCGTGCAACAACTGCACTCTTTGCAGCCGCAGGCACAGGGGTGCTAACCACTGGGTACCTCCTCAACCAGCAAAATGTGAAGGCTGCTATTCAGGAAAAACGGAAACTCTTTCCTCCAAGGTGAGGACTTAGGGTTAGACAGTCAGCTGAGCACAGCACTCTGTTAACTGGGCTAGGAGCAACGTTTAACTCTTTAGAGACAGAAGATCCCTAACAGAGCTGCAGAGTCCTCATGTGGCCATGCCGTCTATCCATGTGCTGTGTGAAATGAAAAACAACACCCTTTCTTAATAACCCTAGTTTTAGGTAGCATCAACAATGGCCTTTGAGACCGGAAAGCAGCGATGTGAGAGAGAATCAACACTCAAAAAAATTCATTGCTGAACAATGACAAGCCTAACAAATGTTTCAAATTTTAGGCAGAGCACTATATTAGTTCTTATCTCATCAGCTATCAAGTGCCTTGCAGCTCAACCTGTTGGACTGGGTGATTGTACGGACTCTACCATCAGGAAATGTGAAAATATTTTCATTATGCAAGTAGGAAAGAAATCTCCCATATAACTACTGTACTTGAAATACTCCTAATTCTCTTACAACTGGCTGGCTGATGATTAGAAACTATCAGACTATTAGAAAATACAGACCTTCTTCTCTGTAGGTTGACTTTGCTGGCCATACTTGTGAAAAACAATATGGATGAGGCTCTGACAGACCTTTTTTTTTTTTTTTTTTTTTAAGTAGTGAATACTATCCTAGTTATTCTTACAGAAATAGCGGGAGTTGTGCATAAGGCAAATCATTACAAGCTAGAGGTGGTTTGATGCAGTTCCAAAAATGCATTGCTAAAGTATAACGTCTTTGCTTAGTCCGCCATGCAACTTTCTATAAATAATAATGCCATTAACATAAACCCAGATATTGTAGAGGAATGAGCTCTCAGCTGACATAGATCAGACAGTGCCACTGATGTCCATGAAGCTGTGAGAGCACATGGGCTCTGAATTACAGAAAACTTCTTCAGCTAAATTCAGCTAATTTCTACTTGAAAGAAACAATACTAGAGCTCTTTTATTTCTGAATTAATGTCTCAACAGAGATTTAATGGGGCTTAGTACACTTTCAGAGCTCATTGGTATTCATTTTCCTGATGGCCCTGAGCAGCAGAAAGCTGCAATGGCCTGTAGGTGTGGTGGCCCACTGGTGTGCAACATGGGGTACTTTGTGACCTGAATCTTCCTCCCTTCTTAAAATTCAATGCAACTTATAAACCAAGAACTAATTATACTTTTAAATTGTGGTGTGTAGTCTTGATCCCTTTAATTGCTTCATAAACTAGCAAGGATAACTCTTCAAAGGTGCCTCATTAATTGCTTGGGATTCTTCTCTTCAGCGCAGACTATCCTGATCTCCGCAAACATAACAACTGCATGGCTGAGTGCCTCACACCTGCCATTTACTCTCGGCTAAGGGACAAGATGACTCCCAACGGCTACACCCTGGACCAGTGCATCCAAACCGGGGTTGACAATCCTGGCCACCCTTTCATTAAAACTGTGGGCATAGTCGCAGGTGATGAAGAATCCTATGAGGTATGACGTTTCCACAATACTGTTGTATTTGGTTCAGTTTTTGTGGTATCGTTCATAAAAGCTCAGTTTCGTGATATCATTTGCAAAAGCTCATTAGCCAAAGACAGATTCCCAGCAGGGTGTGTGCTCCTAAGATAAATTGTATTGCAAAGAGTACACAAGGGGCAGGCCAAGTGCATAAAGATGGTGTTTTCCCTGCTCTCCACACCAGGAAATGCACGAACATGAGGAGTTACTACATGTGCTTTCCCTGCTGCAATTGAAGTTAATAAAATTTACCTGCTCAGGAGCAGCTGCTACCTGCCTGCAGCAGCTGCCCTCCTTCCTACAACTAAACTTAGTTTATGGCAAAACTATGCAACCCTGAGACACACAAAATAGAGGTAATGTGGAAATTACATTGTGGAACAGCAGAGGCAGAAGTGAAATAAAAATGTCTTCTGGGAAGTGCCACACATCATTAAGCCACAGCTTTTGGATCATGATGAAAACTGAAGACAGAAAGCATTAGGGTGGACAGGTTTATTTAACTCTGGAATAAGGAGAAGAGGAAAAGAGAAGAAAATCCTTTTTTATTGATCTCTGTGGTCTGCTTCCTTCAGTCTACCTCCAATAGTACCTATTACTATACAGTCTCCTAAGAGTATCTCAAACACTGGGCTGCACAGGATGGACTGGGACATCTGGCATTCTGGACTACCAACTCCTGTGGTTCGGTTTACTCATTTAGATGTGCCACTGCCACTGCTCCTCATCTGCATGAAGGTGTGGTGATTGGTGTTGACACGCCTGAGCCAAGTGGCTCTAATGAGGACTAGTACCCCATGTGATAGTGAAGACATAGGGCACCCCTGTATGACCTAAAACCAAGAGACAAGCTGCTGGGGGATGCTGAGTATGTGTTCTGGTTCGTAATACATCCTGAAACCTAATCTGGTTGACACCACATCCAGTTTGTGGTAACTACAGTAAGCTTGTAACTTAAGTAAGGTGCAATTGCACCTTCTTTCTGTTGTGAAGACGGCAATGGCTTCAGAGCACTGTCAAGGTCAAAAGTACCCTCTCCTTTCATATTTACACCTGCCTGCATGTGCAACCCCCACTTTATGTCTGTCACCCAGGAGCCTGTGCCAGGGGACTTCTCCTGTGGCGGAAGCTGGTGCATTGAAGCATTTCTATGATGATGCAGACTCTTTCTAGGTTCTCTTGACTCCATAGGTATTCGCTGATATTTTTGACCCTGTCATTAAAGTGAGACATAATGGCTATGATCCACGGACAATGAAGCATTTCACGGATCTGGATGCATCCAAGGTAGGACTGAAATAAAATAATGAGACAATAAATGCTCAGGCATGATTCTTACAGTGATGATACTGTATGTAACAGTACTTTTCTTTTTCCTGATTCAACTCCAAAGACACTAACTTCAGGGTTAAGGAAAGCAGGATGCCACTCATGGCCCTATCAGCAAGACAGCTGCATCCTTGCCTTGTTCCTAGCAAGGGATCAGCCCGAACTGTACTAAGCATTTGGGTCACAGTCTCATTTGACACTTTGAGTCTGTTGATGAGCTTACAGAAAACCATGTGTCTAAGGACTGGAATGAAAGCAGCAGTTGACTCCAATGCACCCACATATATGTGATCAAACGTTATCTGCTGCTTAATATTTCCTTCATAGTTTATCTACGCTGTGGTTTAGTATCTTTTTAGGATTTTCCCTTTTGAAGGATCTTCCTTATCTGGCCCCCTGCCTCTGCCCATATCCATGGTTCCAAAAGCCATGCAAATTCCTTCTTATTTTGGGACCATGAAAGACAAGCTAGTTACACTGTCACATTCATTCATTCAAAGAAACATGTTGTTCCTATAAAAGCTTCCTGGTGTTGAAACTCTGAGGGGCTCCTGGTATCTTAAGTATTTGTGATCTCATGGAGAGGTTGTTATGCCTGGGCAGAAAGATGTTCTTCTTTTTGTATGAAGGGATTTGGTTTTTTTCACGGTGGACTACAAGATGGAGGGGATGTGTGTGAACTAATAAGTCATTCTTCCCTCAGATCACCCATGGTCAATTTGATGAGCGCTACGTCCTCTCATCACGGGTACGGACTGGCCGCAGCATCCGGGGCCTCAGTCTTCCTCCTGCCTGCACCAGGGCAGAGCGGAGAGAGGTGGAGAATGTCGTGGTCACCGCACTTGCTGGGCTGAAAGGAGACCTCTCTGGAAAGTACTACAGCTTGACCACTATGTCCGAGAAGGATCAGCAGCAGCTTATTGATGTAAACATAGTTCCAGTGCTGACACCATTTTTATTTACTCTCATTTATCTTAATCTTTGTCTTTTTTAGGGTACATGCTTTCCTGTGTAGCTAAGCAGGATGATAATCCCAGCCTTAACCCAGTAGTTAATGGCCTGTCAATATTTTTAATGTAATGGCAAATCATCCAGGGTCTATATTTCAGCTATGTACACAGCTTTGCAGGTCCAAAACATGGAGTTATTATATTCCAGATAGCAAGGTCTGTGTCAAATCAAATATACACGGCTGCTGCCACCTCTTTGGACAAATAATGAAGTAAATTCAGCACTTTTTCTTGGTCATTTCCTTGAGCAAAGATTGATGTTTTCTACACTAATAACCATTCTAACTAAAAATATTGCATTGAGGTAAGACTTATGTATTATCTGTATTCTAGACTGTTGGGGTGGGGGGCTTTGGCTGTAATTTCTTTATGTCAAAACTACACTAATTCTAATTTTCCCAAAATGGCTGTAGCCAACTGCACCCAGGTGACCTTTCCCAGTCCTGTAACTGTGTTTAAGGACTTTGAGGATCAGGCCCATAATGAGAGTTACGCAAATTTATAGAAATCGGGGCACTGAATGTTGTAACCTCTGATTCCATCTTTAACCCATACCATTGCTTACCTCCTCCAGTACTTTAGGACCTTGAACCTCTATGGTATCAGACCTTCCACCAGCCTTTATTAAGCACCATTTGATCTCAGTAAGACCTAATCAGTGCTAGACAAACAGCATTCAGCACAGAAGGCATTCAGTAGTTTGCAGATTTGGGCCATATGCACGTAAGGGAAACTAGCAGTGCTCAGCTGTTTTCTTGGCAGTGTTTGAGGAACTAAGAACTAACATTTTTTAAGTACACACATGAAAACCAAATACTTACTTGCTTTGGAAAAAAAAACAGCTCAGTTGAAAAAAAATCTGCATGATCTGGAATGTGGCAAGTCGGTGGCATAGCAAGTGCTACATTTATTAAATCAGAAATAGCATCTCTGTTAAGGAACAGAACAAGTCTCTAATTCCAAAAGGTCAAGCTTAGCACTGATTTAATTCCTACCTTGACTTCACGCTCCAAATAAATTGCTAAATCTCTGTGCTGAAGAAATATCTTTTCAGAAGTAGCAGGTTTTTTGTTTCAATCTTTAGGAACTCATTGCCTTCTCCCTGAAATATGTCTCTATGTAGAAAACATCTCTGGTGCTAGCAGTTAGGTCCCTCCAGAGCACCCTTTGGTGTGTGTATATGGTATTAGGTCCCCACCTCCCATTCCTCCCTACATTTGAAAAATGTTTTTGGCAAAACATGGTCACATTATCAATGTCAGTGAGATTCTGTAAGACTCAAGAAAATCACCTGGATAAAATGGTTTTAGTTTTCAGAAGGAACCAGATTCACAAGCTGTTCTATGTGATTTACTTGTACATTGATTGCCTTCACATAAAATGTATTAGATAGCATTATACCGCTTTCTTGAAAAAAACTTGAATTTCGTTTTCTCTCTCTCTTTCTCTTTCC